TGTATTGAGCTTGGTTAAGTTTTTTGTACCACCTCACTTTATTTCAAAACCATTGGAGGTATTGCTTTGAAACTGACCATACTTGTTTACCATCACGACCTTCATCAACAGACAAGAGGACATAACTCTGTCAAGGTTTTTGACAGAATTATGCCCCTTTTTGACTTAGAAAATACATTGAATATGGGTAAAATCCACTTATTGCCTTAACCCTTTGAGATATTGCTTTGAAACTTTTAATGCTATTTCACATCATTACCCCCATCTGTACGCAAGAGAAGGTAACTCTTTCAAGGATTTGTTTTAAAAATTAAGGCCTTTTATCGACTTAGAATCTTGGTTAAGTTTTTAGTACCAGTCCACTTTTTGACTGAACTGTTTGAGATATTAATTTTTTAGTTTTTAGTACCAGCCCTCTTTTGACTTAAACATTTCAAACTTTGCTGCAGTGTTCAAGGGTATCACACAATTCAGTAAAATAATTCTTCACTAAATATCTTAATGCTCATGGCCATTGTTCACTTTAAAAATACAGAGATTCTTGTATTTCCTTTTACTGCAAAAACTTTTTTTATTGGCAAGCAATAAAAAAGTCGAGCGCGCTGTCTTACGGACAGCTCTTGTTATGAAGCTTCCAACTCGCACATAAAAAAAGCTATCTCTTAAAACACAAGGCCCTTTAAATGATTAGATTGTAGCTTAATTTGGTCAGAGTATTGTAAATTGATGGTCACCAGAAACTGTTGATGAATTATGCTAGGATTTGTTCAATTCTTTATGAAAGTTTAATTCAGATTTCAGGACATTGAGGCTGGTGTACAGGGGCAAGAAAGATGTTTAACTTTTCCATTAGCCCTCACAAACAGACTCAAATCAAAACGAGTTTGCAATTTTCATATAACTGTTGTTTTGATTGGTCTAGAAGGATCTCCTCTTTGTTCAGAATTTAATGAATGCAAAATTATGCTCATATAATTTGTAAAATTGTATTCTTTAAATTCATAGAACTCTTACTGAACATTTCAATATCAAATAAGATTTTAGCAGCTTTCAGTTGTAGGAAGACTTGCCTGAATATTTGATGATGGCCTTTACTAGACAAGTCAATTTGAAAGGTTAAGTCTTGTATTTCAAATTTTGTGTATTTCCATAGTAAATTATTAGACCAGTGTAAAAAATTGTTTACTTGATCCTTTAGCGAAATGTTTATAAAACCATTGGATGACTGTTTTGTAAACTATTTTACCAAATAAGTCATTGTATTGGCTTATAAATGAATGCATTGTTTGTTATTTTATATTATATGACCATTGAAAAATAAATGATTACAAGTCAGGAAATCTTATAATGAAGTGAGTCAGTACATGAAGCATGTGAAGTGTAACACACAAGTGGTTTATGCATATTAGCTTGTTAATACAGAAAAGCTGTTTTATACATTCGGTGTATGGTTTGATATATATATTCCTTTTTTCGCCTCAAACAAGAATGCGAAATCGAATTTACCACAAAACTCATCATGAATATCCTGTTAAGTCGTTACATAGATTATTATTGATGAGAATTAGGGTGGAAAAAAACTTGCCATTCATCGGGTTATACTTTAAGCGAGATACGTCAACAGGAAAAGTTATTAAAATCATCGATCTTTGTGTTTTCTTTTCCCTTGTATATATTGACATAGAGGTGAAATCATATATAGTTAAGTTTTCAGTAATATTTATAATTTCATTATAGTTTTGATTTCAACACTTATTGAGCTTGAGGTTTGTTTTCTTTAATTATATTTAATATGTCATGGCTTCAGCATGTATCATGTTTGTTGTTGTTCAAGGTTGTTTTGTCAGCATTTTATGGGCTAGATTGATTAATTGATTGATGGGTGAATTAATAAGTAAATTATTTGATTGATTGATTGATTGATTGATAAAGTTTTATTTAAGTCACATAAACACAGTAAACTGTAAAGGGTTATATACCAATTTTCCAGTTTTGTTAGTAGAGGAAGACCCCTTTTTGCATTATTTCAGACACCTAAATAGAATTCAAGGAGGTTATATTACTTTTATACGCCCGTTTGAAAAACGGGACGTATTATGGGAACGCCCCTGGCGGGCGGGCGGCGGTCGGGCGGGCGGGCGGTCGGGGCGGGCGGCGGCGGGCGGCGTCCAATTTTGTCCGGAGCATATCTCCTACATGTATGGAGGGATTTTAATGAAACTTCATATAAATGTTCACCACTATGAGGAGCAGTGTCGCGCACATGAACCAGGTCTCTAGGTCAAAGGTCAAGGTCACACTTAGAGCTCATTGAAAAATGCTTGTCCGGAGCAAAACTTCCACATGTATAGAGGGATTTCAATATTACTTGGCACAAATGTTCAACATTGTGAGGCGGAGTGTCGCGTGCAAGATTCAGGTCCTTGCGGCCAAGGTCAAGGTCACACTTAGAGGTCAAAGTTCAGATAAAAATATGAAGATGTGTATATGGACCATTTAGTCATCATTTATTGAGGGATTGTAACACAAATGGTCATTATCAAGACTATGGCTGTGATACATATAATTTAGGTCAATATATACAAGGTCAAGGTCACTAAAGATGATGAAATATCCAGATTTTGTAAATAGAATTTAATCAAAGGGAGACAACAAAGTTATTACTTTGTTCATAAATGACTTACACAATTACTCCCCTTGATCTATTTTCTAAAAATAGAATTTAATCAAAGGGCATGAAAGAATCCTCTTTCTTGGACTTGAGTATGTTGTAAAGAATGTAACATTTATTTACACATGTTTCATTCATTGGTCAAGATACTTAACTGTGATAACTATGGTGTTCTGTAGACTTGGTATTTGTTCATAAAGATCATACAGTAATTACCTTATCAAATGTAAATACTTTCTCATAGAAATTTAATTATATTTTAATTTTCAAGTAAATATCAGTTCAGCTCATTCAAAGATTAAGAATTGTAATGAAATGTATTTCCCTAGAATAAAATCTTAAATCAGAATTTTTTAGTTATTAAATTACATGTACTTTTTATACGCCCGTTTAAAAAAAGATAAAAATATGAAGATGTGTATAGAGACGATTTAATCATCATTTATTGAGGGATTGTAACACAAATGGTCATTATAATGACTACGGCTGTGACACATGTACTTTAGGTCAATATATGCAAGGTCAAGGTCACTAAAGATGGTGAAATATCCAGATTTTGTCTGGAGCATATCTCCTACATGTATGGAAGAATTTTTATAATACTTTATGGAAATGCTCACCACCATGATATGTATTGCTCCATGCATGATCCAGGTCTCCAGGTCAAAGGTCAAGGTCACACTTAGAGCTCATTGAAAAACGCTTGTCCGGAGCAAAACTTCTACATTCATAGGGGGTTTTCAATATAACTTGGCACAAATGTTTTTCATTGTGAGGCTGAGTGTCGCATGCAAAATTCAGATCCCTGCGACCAAAGTCAAGGTTACACATAGAGGTCAAAGTTCAGATAAAAATTTGAAGATGGTTATAGGGACCATTTAGTCATCATTTATTGATGGATTGTAGCACAAATGGTAACTATCATGACTACAGGTGTTGCACATTTAATTTAGGTTAATATTTGCAAGGTCAAGGTCACTGGAGATGATTAAATATCCAGATGTTGTCCGGAGCATATTTTCTACATGCATGGAGGAATTTTAATGTTACTTTTATAGAATTGTTCACCACCATGAGACGTAGTGCCCTGCACATAAATCAAGTCTCTAGGTCAAAGGTGAAGGTCACAGTTAGAGCTCATAGAAAAACACTTGTCTGGAGCAAAACTTCTACATGCATAGAGGGATTTCAATATAATTTGGCACAAATGTTCATCATTGTGAGGCTGAGTGCCGTGCATAAAATTCAGGTCCCTGCGACCAAGGTCAAGGTCACACATTCTGTGCATATCTTCCCTATTGATTTGTTTTAAGGTTCATTTAACAACACAGTGCCAAGAATAAAAACTTGCTTGCTAGATAACACTTATCCATAATGCCCCCATCTCCATCTAAAGCTTTTTCGTAAACGGGCGTATTTTGTGACTATGGCACCCTTGTTTACAGTGTGTTTGGTTAAAGACTGAAGGAACAAAATCAATCCAGGGATCATAGAGGGATAAAATCTTAGTCTAGACAGAACTAAATGGTCACAATAATGATGATGTTATCAGCCGCCTGATTATTGCAGGATGATTGACAGTGATGATTGGCAGCCTTAATCCCTTACCTAGACTGTTGCAGCTGCTCTCTCTAGTATCTCCGCACAATTTTTGAACAGTTTAACAAAGAGTTTTTTTTCTTAGGTTTTGCTTGTCTGTGTATTAAAATGACACTTGCTGCATTCATTCTTCAAGCTTATGAGTTTAAATTAAGTCCATTAACCAATGCTTGCGTGATGTGATGACAAAGTTACAGCCACGTTAAGACTCAATTCATATACTTATTTTATTCTCCTCAGTGGTTCTACTATAGTGCCCCATTTATGTGCCTGAAATAATGCACGGAGAACCACCTGAGGTCTTCCTCCACCAGTAAAACTTGAAAGTGTTGGTGCAACATAAAACTAAGAAAAAAAACAATATATAAAGTTTTGAGTTGTAACTGTAGATACATTATTTTGTATGGTATTTATTAACTATTACAAATCGCTATGATCAGTGAAACAAATAAATCATATATTAAATTGTGAATCAGTAATTTGCATAAATATGCCTACCACTGTTCACATAAATATGTCATTAACCTAACAGTCAAACACTGTATACATGTATTTCTCACTCAGTCATGTATTTTAGCAATGTGTTTAAATGCTTGAACTAGCCTTGTTCTGTACATACAACAGTTCGGGAAATTTTCTACAAGATAAAATAGACAGATCAGCAGGAATTTCTAGTGAAAGCTGGTGTGAAAATATTTTATTAGTCATTAAGTGACCTTGGGCTGGCGTAGGTTTATTCACTGTAAAGAAGTGATAACATTCTCGGATAGATATTTACTTGGTGCAGATAGTCAGTTGGTACATCTCTCTTTTTGATATGGAGGGTGGTTTTAATGGTGAATAAAAATATAAATATCTTGTAACATCATTGTTTGGAATACAACACTGTGTCAGATATACTGTAAGTATATTTTGTTAGGTAGTCAATATGAAATATTTTGTGTGTATACATATTTTACATAGTTTGAAGCACTTTTGCTTGAAGCAAATTAAATATTTTCCAATGTTTCTACTGTTTAACATATCATATGAGATTCAAAACAATTTTGCAGTTGGCCTCGAATTGTAATAATTATATATCTATGAGCAATTTTATCGATTTTTGATTCATATTGCAGTATAATTCAGTATGAAAATATGATTATTTCTTTGCATGAATCCTTTATCAAATCCCTGTCTGCCTCACAGTTGGAAGTTCTACATGGCTGCTTTGCCTGGTGTAAATGAGTAAATAGAAGTATAATTTTCAAACTGTGTGTGTACAATTTCAGGTGTATGTTTAATACCTGATTTTATTTGAAAGATACGTTTATGGGTTTGTTTTTTTTTCCCCAGATAGATTGAATTTTACTTGCCTAGCTTGCAGTTGCAATGAAATTATAATTAAAGATATGAAATGTTTAGATTCAAGGTTCTTATTGTGCAGCAAAGCACATGTATATATGAGCCGCGCCATGACAAAACCAACATAATGGGTTTGCGACCAGCATGGATCCAGACCAGCCTGCGCATCAGCGCAGTCTGATCAGGATCCATACTGTTCGCTTACAAACCCTATAACAAGTAGAGAAACTGATAGCGAAAACTGATAGCGCAGGCTGGTCTGGATCCATGCTTGTCGCAAACCCATTATGTTGGTTTTGTCATGGCGCGGCTCATATTTGAAAACACAAACACTGTAGATTAATACATTACATCATAGTGGATAATTATATAGCAAGAACCACTTGTCAATATCACATAAGATTTGTTGAAAAAAGAATTTAATGTAAATATTTTTTGTTCCTTACATATACATTCTTGTCACTACATAATCATGTCACTGCACATAGTCATGTCAAGTGAGTCAGTTTATCAATACAGTCTTATTGAACGTTTTGTATTTTTATCCAACTTTCCAAGTTTATGTATTTTTATCCATACAATCATGTCATTTTCACATAATTACATTGCCACATTATGTCATCACTTTAGATTATAAAATCGGCCTTTTATTACACACTGTTTCAATTCATAGTTTAATTATGTTATTGCATACAGTAACGTAAAAAAAAAATCACATCCATATATCATTACAGCCTTACAAATGTTTGTTATTACATACTGTCATATTATTACATAAAATCATGTCACTACAGACACATTTCAATCATGATAGTCATACAGTCATGTCTATTACACTGTCATATCATTGACTACTCTTTATCTGAAGTCATGTCTGTAGTCATGTCATTACATAGTTATAATCATGTCATAATCAAGTCATTCTTGTTTCTATGGACTTGTGAAGTAAACCCATTTCAAGGCCCAGTATGTTCTAGTCTTTTACGACTAGGTTTCCCATCTTTTAAAATAGTTCCCTGTTCTACTGTAGCTTCCTGTATATCATGTTTTATAAAGTTTGCAAGATAATGTTGCATATTGGTTAATAAGCTGAATTTATGAGGAGATGGAATTGTAGGGTGGCATTCTCATTTCTTAACAAAAACTTTCCAATCTTAGATTGTGTGTTGAGATGGTTGTCTTATACATAAATGGTTATTAGTAGAAATAAGAAGACTGTCTTTGCTTAAAGAAATATAATGTAGGATATACAAAAGAAATTTAGCTGGCAAAATCCTTGTGTTAGTCTTACACAGTCAAGACATTTCACACTTTTTACACTATTATGTCATTACACACAAGTTTTTTTATAATTGATCTAGTCATACTATGACTTATTTCCACAGATATTATTTGCAGAATGTATAGAAATTAAATGTATTTATAGAACAACTTTATCATCAAAAATAGTTTTTCCCCTAAAACATATGGATACAGTCTCAGGCTGCATAAAATGCTGATAATCAAATAAACTATCTATAGTTGCCATGAAATACTGTGGTATTTCACAATCGAGTACACATCTGGTGCATCATCTGCTTTCCTTGAAGGTAAATTGATGCAATTTTAACGTGTAGCGTCAAAGAAATATTAATTTCGGGATGTTATTTGCATTGTTACCAAATTATGATCACATTTGTAATAATTGAATGCCTGCATACCTTTATTATTAAGATAAGCACAGCCAGTGGTTTTGTTGTTTGTGACGGCAGCAGCAGACGGAAAGATTGCAAGTGCTCAAGGCAATTTTTTTCATTTTATAAGCAGTTGACTCACTATTCATTTCCATATTTGTGAATTATTTCTTATGCAGTTGTCTGCACCATCATGACAACTGATTTTGATATGTCAAAGGGCTAAGCTGTGTTTAGACATGCGTCACTTTTTGGGTGCGAAATCAACAGCCGACTTGAAAAGGCAGACAGAAACATCTGTCCTCCATGCTGTTGGTATTTCCTAGGTGTGTTTGCAAAGATTTAGTAATGGTCCACTTGTCTTGAAAGAAATAAAAAGCTTTTAAAACAGTTTTAATAATTTCATACATTTATTAGATATTGTAATTTTGATTTTGAGACCAAGGGTAGTAAGTCATGATGTGCATATTTTAAGAGTTATGATTATTTGTTAACTAAGAACATTTTATAATTGTTATATAACATTATTTACATTAGATGATAACTGTTAAGATATTTGATGATTTGTTATAGCAACAAACACGTTTGATTATTTCCCTGTTGATTTAATCTGCATTTATAGACCTGCAGTGCACTCTTAGTATTATCAGTTCATTGTTAATTTTATGACAATTCTGCAAAAAAAACCAACAACAAAAAAACAACAACAACAACTAATCAGAGTAGTCATCCTTAAATGATATGGACAGACTGCATCAAATTGATTTATACAATACTTATTTGGTTCTCAACTTCTGGGTTAAATGATAAAACTAGGGTTTTGGGATATATGATTTAGATTTTAGTTTAACAGCAATGAAATTATATATTTTCAGGTATTAGCTTAACCTGATCATCCCCAATCAACCATGCAAGCCCCTCCCAACTTCCAGCCCCAGAATGTGAATCAAGGACGTAAGTTGCCACCAGCGGTAAGATCACGCTACAGAAAGTTTGACATCTACCGGGACGTCACGCAGTTCTCATTCGTAGATAACCATGCCATTTTGGTGAGTATACAGTTAGATATTTATCAGTTATTGATTTGTGAAATTTTTAATGTTTAGAGTTTATAAATGCTATTGTGAACCTGTTGTCCTACTGATAAAACTTCAATTATGTCCAGTTTTAAATAGAGGATATTGAATGAGTGTAGGTTTAATACTAAATTTATTGAACGAGTTGAATAAAATCATATTAGTGCGACCAGTACTTTGGGTGATTTCATATTGTTTTTTTCACTGTTTAATTCAATTTAGTATTGAATTCTACAGATTGTCAATTTCTATTTAGTCACATATTTAGTTCAAAATTGAAGGTTTAATACTTGTTGTCATAGGTTATTTTTTTTGACGCGCTATAGTGTACGCTAAGCATTTTAGTAGCGCTTTAATATTGTTTATAGTGCACCAATTGTACATTTGCATTGTCAATTGTGTTTTTAACTAGTGTTTAAAATGTCTAGTGTTCATATTGCGCATCTTTTATTTAATTATGGCTTTATTTACATTTCCCTTTATGTTTTAAATTCGCTTTTATTGCTATTAGTGTTGCCATTTGTGGATTGTCATATTACTTGAGTGGTTTCATATTGTACACATTGCTAAATATTTGGTGTTGTCATATTGTAGTGTTTGTCATGTTGTAGTGTTTGTCATGTTGTAGTGTTGTCATATGACAGTGTTGTCATATTGTAGCATTGTGATATTGTAGTGTTGTCATGTTGTTGCATTGTCATATTGTAGCATAGTCATATTTTAGTGTTTGTTACATATTGTTCGTGTCTTGTTATATTTTAGCATTTGTCAGTGTAATAGCATTAATTGTTATATTGTCATATTATTGTTATATTGTAGCATTATTGTTATATTGTCATTATTGTTATATGCTATGTATTGTAGCATTTGCTTCATATTGTAGCATTGCCATATTGTAGCATTGTCATATTGTAGTGTTTGTCATATTGTAGTGTTGTGATATTGTAGTATTTGTCATATTGTAGTGTTGCCATATTGTAGGGTTGTCATATTGAAGTGTTTGTCATATTGTACCATTGCTATATTTTAGTGTTGTCATATTGTAGTGTTGCCATATTGTAGCATTGTCATTATTAATTGTAGTGTTGTCATATTGTAGCATTGCTATATTGTAGTGTTGTCATATTGTAGCATTGCTATATTGTAGTGTTGTCATATTGTAGCATTGTCATATTGTAGTGTTGTCATATTGTAGCATTGCCATATTGTAGCATTGTCATATTGAAGTGTTGTCATATTGTAGCATTTGCTATATTGTAGTGTTTTGTCATATTGTAGTGTTTGTCATATTGAAGTGTTTGTCATATTGTAGCATTGTTATATTGCTAGGCCGTTGTCATATTGTAGTTGTTTTGTCATATTGAAGTGTTTGTCATATTGTAGTGTTGTTCATATTGCAAGTGTTTTGTCATATTGAAGTGTTTGCCGCTATTTTGTAGTGTTGTTGATTATTGACAGTGTTTGTCATATTTGAAGTGTTTGCCGTATTGTTAGTGTTGTGATATTGAAGTGTTTGTCATATGAAGTGTTTGCCATATTGTAGTGCTTGTGATATTTTGTTTGTCATATTGAAGTGTATGTCATTATTGTAGTGTTGTGATATTGAATGTTTGTCATATTGAAGTGTTTGTGAATATTTTTAGTTTGCATATTGAAGTGTTTGTTCAATCAAATTGAAGTTGTTTGCCATATTTTAGTGTTGTGATATTGAAGTGTTTGTCATATTGACCAGTGTTTGTCATATTGTAGTGTTGTGATATTTGAAGTGCTTTGCTCATATTGAAGTGTTCGCGATATTGCTAGTGTTGTGATATTGAAGTGTTTGTCATATTGAAGTGTTTGTCATATTGTAGTGTTGTGATATTGAAGTGTTTGTCATATTGAAGTGTTTGTGATATTGTAGTGTTGTCATATTGAAGTGTTTGTCATATTGAAGTGTTTGCCATATTGTAGTGTTGTGATATTGAAGTGTTTGTCATATTGAAGTGTTTGTCATATTGTAGCATTTGTTATATTGTAGGGTTGTCATATTGAAGTGTTTGTCATATTGTAGTGTTTGTTATATTGAAGTGTTTGTCATATTGAAGTGTTTGTCATATTGTAGCATTTGTTATATTGTAGGGTTGTCATATTGAAGTGTTTGTCATATTGAAGTGTTTGTCATATTGAAGTGTTTGCCATATTGTATAGTTGTCATATTGAATTGTTTGTCATATTGAATTGTTTGTCATATTGAAGTGTTTGCCATATTGTAGCATTTGTTATATTGTAGGGTTGTCATATTGAAGTGTTTGTTATATTGAAGTGTTTGTCATATTGTAGCATTTGTTATATTGTAGGGTTGTCATATTGAAGTGTTTGTCATATTGAAGTGTTTGTCATATTGAAGTGTTTGTCATATTGAAGTGTCTGTCATATTGTAGCATTGTCATATTGTAGCATTGCCATATTGTAGCATTGTCATATTGTAGTGTTGTCATATTGTAGCATTGCTATATTGTAGCATTGTCATATTGTAGTGTTGTCGTATTGTAGCATTGCCATATTGTAGCATTGTCATATTGAAGTTAAAAGTGGGCTGTCACAACTTTCTATTAATGGCAAGTTTATAACTTTGATACGTTTTAAAACATTCATGTTTAATGGAAGACCAAACCACCTATGATTTCTGGGTCCATATTTTACTCTTAGTCTTCTGGTGGCAAAAGATCCTACCCATATGACCAGTACAGACCAAGATCAGCCTTCACATCCTTTGTATCTAATTATGGTCTGCTCATTTCACTATTAAGTCACTACATATTTTGACATTTTCCCTTAAAATGATTAATGGTTTTATCCAGAACGAAATATGGACAAGTACAGCCATTTAATATAGTAAGCATTATAAAATGCATTTAATTGTACAACTGTAAGATTAATTTTCTAACAAAGTGAATATTTTGTTACAGATAAAATGTCAAACATCAATTGTTTCCCTCTGGTAATTTAATTTATGTGATTAAATTGGCAGTCAGACTATTGAGATTTTCAGTGCTTCCCTTTTCAACATATAGGCAATTTGTCAAAATGTTATACCATGCAAAAAAGCTGAGAAATGAGTGTACTGTTTTATGAGGGTTATTATGTCTAAATGGCAGAGTTTGGTAAAAGAATGTGACATCTGGTAACCATCTTCCATTAGGTTTGGTGCAGTATAGTGAGATGAAGACATAGCTTGGTACGTTTTTTTCTTTTGCACATTCTGTAAATCATTGCAGACTGCAACAAGAAAAACAAGTTTATAATCTGACAGAATGTTTGAAGTTTTCTGAGAGTTTTAATCATGTGTATGTGTTATCAAAGGCCATCTGTAGATCTTTTCTTGTTACCTCAGTGTTTCATCTATAAATATTGTGTAGAGAAAAAGTTTTGTGTGGTACATTTTTTTTCTGCAACAGACACTCAGACACACAGGCAGCCTCCCTGCAGAATAATTATCCCAAATCAATAAATATTGATAGGTCTTTCACTTGTTTATTTATAGACAAGCTGGAGATAATTGTATCTACTGGCAAATTGTAATAAAAGCTCTACAATAACTTGTTAGTAAACGAGATATTTTGACATGCCGAAAAGCAGTTTGAAAATTAAAATCTTCAAAAGCAGTGTTTATTGTGTGCATTAGCTTCAAAGTAAGAAGTTTAAAATTGTTGAATAAGCAAAGTTTTGTTCAGAATGTGCTAACAAGAAGAAAGTTCTATAATGTAGTGGCATGGCCGAGTGGTTAACACATCAGACTAGTAATCAAATGACCGCTAACCACATGATTTCAAATCCTGTCAAGGGCAAGTCTTTGTTTCCTTAACAGAACTTTTACACTTATTGCTCAGTACTGGTTGGTTCCAGAAATGGACTAGAAAGTGTGTCTATAAGCTACACAATCAAGCTAAAAATTAATTGAAGTGAGATGTTTTTACCTTGCAGTATCATAAAAAAATGATCTGATTTATAACCTTTCACTGATGGTAATATGAACATTAAACCTATGAATGTCAGTTAGACATTTGACTTATGAATGTCAGTGTGATATGTTACTTTAAGATAGTTGACCTATGAATGTCAGTGAAATATATTAGTTAGACATTTGACCTATGAATGTCAGTGCAATATATTAGACATTTGACCTATGAATGTCAGTGCAATATATTAGACATTTGACCTATGAATGTCAGTGAAATATATTAGTTAGGCTTTTGAACTATGAATTTCAGTGTAATATGTTAGTTGGACATTTGACCTATGAATGTCAGTGCAATATATCAGTTAGACATTTGACCTATGAATATCAGTGTGATATATTATTTAGGCATTTGACCTATGATTGTCAGTGTGATATATTATTTAGGCATATGACCTATGATTGTCAGTGCAATATATCAGTTAGACATTTGACATATTAATGTCAGCCCAATATCAATGAGAGTTTACATTAAAATGTCAGTGGAATATCTATTAAACATTTGACATTTATATTTCTGTGAGAGATTTAACATTGAAATGCCAGCTAGTATTCAATATCAGTGAGACATTTGAATTCCAGTGTGATATCTGTAAATTGCCTTTATTTGATATTGAGTGAAATATCAGTGAAACATTAGATAATAAGATGTTTGTAAGAAATTTGATGTTTTATTACCATAAAGAAAATATTTTTACTTTAATGAGTAATATGTAACTTTATTGTATCAGAGAATGTGTCAGATTTTAATGCTTCCAGTATCATTAAAAATGTAATTTCCTTGTATTCACAAGAAATAATTGTTTTTAAATAAGGGTCAGCTTTGATAAGATTTGTTAAATGAAAATTTAAAAAGAAATAGGAAATTAATGATATTCTTCCTGCAATCTAAGTAGATCTTACTTGTGACACATTCATAAAGCATGTTTGCTTAAGTTATTTAAAACTTAAGTACTTCAAAAGCAGATTATGTATGGACATTTAAGATGTTCAATATATATTTTACACACACCCTTAGCCTGTTGGCGGCAACTGATTCTACCCATGGGGCATGTCCATAACAAGATTAACCAGCATCTGTCTGTCTGATAATAGTCTGCACTGTTGGCACATACTTTGAAATATTTCCTAAAAATGATCAATAGTTTTCTCCATCTTTAGTATGGCAAGGGTTAAAGTTTCCAAAATATCTCTAAAGCTTTTGACTGTTGTATAATGTTACCACTCCCAACTAAACAAATGTTTTTTGAAAGTCAACATAGAGATTTGTATAAAGCTTCACCCCCAAAAAAATGTAAAATATAAGTGGGTGGAAGAACACAATTTATCACTGCAATTTCTTAGGCTCTTATCATTTATTTATTCAGATTAGATGGTTTCTCCTGCTGGTTTTGATAATACCAGTGAATCTTATAAATATTTGCCTCTAAAATTCACCTGAGTTTACAGAGCAGGTAGCTCAATTGAGGTCACATAATCTCTGATCTCTTCTTTTTTTTTCATTGTTAGTTTATTGAAATCAAATCTGGAAAAAAAATTATGTAAACATTATATTATTGATGTTAATCATTTGATGGGTTGTGAAAGGCTTAGTTTACAGTGTTCAGCTGGCACTAGTTGCTGGATAAACTTAATCCTTTGAGCCCTAGCCTCTATCATATCATTATAAAAGTGTAAGGCCAGTTTACAAGTTTATGCAGTACCAGGTATTCACTTTTTGCAATATATTTCAGCATTTGGAACTGAAACCCCTTAAACTAGAAAGGAATGTTAAAAATCAAAGCTTTGCACATTAGTTCAGGTGCAATACTGCTTTGAATACACGAAAAGACATTTTGGTTCTTCTTTCACTGGTTAAAGCTTGAAAGCTGCTGTACAGCCTTAAAAAATTTGATGTCACGCTTTAATGGTATAAAGCTATATATAATGAAATATTTTTATAAAATTTATAAATAATAAAAGTTTCCATAATCTTATGGTCAGTTCTCTAAAGAAGAATGTCTCTGTTATTTAACACACATGAATATTGTACGAAAACAGAATAAAATGTTCCAGAACGTAACTTTAAGTAGGACTTTAGCCTTTAAAATTACATATCATTAATTTTGAGCAAGCACCATTTGTTTGTAAGGACATTTACTACAATATTTCTTTCATACCAGCATTTTGGAAGTTATTCTTTTTCAAAATTCCATCAATAATTTTTGCAACAGATACATAGCTTTATACACTTTAAAAACCAAAAAATCATAATAGCAAAACAAAATATAAAAAAAGCATCATTTTTTTCTATTTTATAAATCAGTTTTCAATGTTATTTTATATATTTCAGGTATCACAAACAGATCATACAAACTTCAGAGATCTGATATGGCATCTTGTTTACAGCCCAAACTTGTCATCTGATCTTGAAAAAGCCAGGTGAGTTTCTCATTATTTTATACAGCCATTGTCTGTTGTGAAAAGGTCAAGGTATTCAGTCTATTTTACTTCAGTAAATGATAATTCACCTATAGATGACTTCTTTAAAGATATATACTATGCCCATCATTTAGTAAAATATTTAAATCACAGAAACTTACTGAAATCTATGAAATTCTTACTAAATATGTCAAATTTGAATAAAAGAATGAATAAACTATGCATGGAAAGCTGCGTTCCCTATTATGGGTAAAAAACTGCCAGTTGTTTAATGATATTGTGACCACCTATAGTGTGTAAAATTTTAAATATAACATATCTACTTTGTGTGAAGTCAAAACAAAAGTTTCTTTTTACTTCTGAATATGTAAGGTGTTGAAATATATTTGTGAAAGAGATGCCAGGTTTACTTGACATCAGTTAGATATATCTAATGTTAATTGGTGTACCATGATCTTTTCACAACATTGTTCATATATTGTATATTTAACCACTTGCAAACTTGTGAGGTGGAGGGAGCATATAGATTTGCCCTTGTCCGTCCACCCCACTATCACATTGTCAGTGTTTATCATGCTGTCTGTTTATAGACTAACAAAGCTGTGGAATGAAGAGCCTTGTCCTATGGATTATTTCTAGTTATTTTATGAGAAGAAATATATATATAGCCATAAAATCATCTTGTATTGTGCAAGCAGCATGTGAAATTGTGAAGGATAATTTTTGTTACATTAATTTTACAGGGATTATTAACAATAATTATACCATCTGTTACTATATTGATCGTTTATCCTGAATGTTATTGTACAGTCAGTGAAAATTGCAATATTTTGCATGGTTAAAGATGTTGTTATATTTGCAAGAGTCCTGACATTGTTCCCATGATTTTATCAAAGGCATTAAAGCCTCATGTTTAATGGTCATAATTAGCATGAGCCTCATCTTGGTTAAACAACTTGCCTTGCACAAGCTAGCTGAATAGCTTGCTAGCTGGAAATAGTTACATGTCCTTGCAGAGATTTCAACCAACAGCTGTGAGTGGCAAGTAAGTCACTGGCAACATAATGAGCCACTAAGTCAAGGAGAAATGGAGATGATAAGTGTGAAAATATATGAATAAAAATGACACTTTGGTTATATTAAAGTTTAATTGTAGGCACACATTTAATTTTTTCATTCTTTAGAAGGGGCAAACATGAGTTTAAAAAATTTGATGTTTAAAGAACGGTGTTACAGCATGTTAGATGATTTTCACCCTGAATATGAAATTATCTGTCATAAAGGTAACAAAATGTAAACAACAAAGTCAGTGTGTTCGAAATTAGCAGTAGTCCCATAGCCCCTGACTACTAAATTTCGCCTCAGGCTACCAACTTTTCACAGTAACAAGCCCGACCAGGCTACTGTATTTTCAGAGGCAATATAAACAACTGTTTTGAACAAATGGATTGTGCTAGTGAAATGTCTTTTGGGCTAGTGAATAGTCCAATCTGGTCGTCCGACCAGCCTAGTGGATTCAAATCCGAATTTCTTACACTGCAAAGTACTTCCATACAAGATACTAAATAACTGCTATAGTACTAGTTACCAAAAAGATTACAGAGCAGGTGGTTCAGTTAATTGGCGAATGAGTAACTTTAAGAAAACTATAACAGGACACACAAAAAGAAGGTTTCTTAGAAATAAGAGCATTTTAATGGGTCTATAAAATCATGACAGAAGAAATACTTCTAGAATTGTGTAGGATCTAAGTAAGGAATCAGGATACCTGTACTTGATTGTTGTTGCTATATATATCTGAATTTTTCTTTGATGATTGAGAAATTCTTAATTGTGGTTGTATAGTTGTTATCCAGTAGACATCAACTGACAAAGTTAATCAGCTTGTACTATTGATCTATTTTCTACAGCTGTTTGGCTGGAAATAGTTGGGAGGAATTATTTTCAACAGATTTTGATAACCATGATTCTTGGTTATAAAAGTTATATATAGTTTCAGGAAAAGTTCTTTTTTTCTTAAACTGAGTTTTTTTTAATGGAAAACCATGTTACTACACTACAATATTGAAAATTTAAAAACGGTTCTTCAATGTCACATTTAAAAATGCTTGAGTTAGCTTGAAGATTGGAGATAAATTTGCTGTTATCAAAGATGATGGGAAGGGCATATTGAAATATGAGCTTAGACAAACTGAGTATAAAGTCCTGAAAGCTTTAAAATTCTATATTAAATCATATTAGAAGTGCTCACTAGGAATAGAATAGAATAGAATTGGATGATGGCTTTGGTCTAGAGTCCCTATAACCTTCTTGTTTGAAATTAAAGAGATATTTTGAGGTGTTTGGTTTGAGAGTTTCGCGGTGAAAAATAGTGGGCTGTTTAAAAAGTTGAGTTTATTTGTTGGCAGATATTTGAGAGTGTTTGTAGGAAGAAATGGAGGAGCATTGCCAGAGGAATGTATGGAAGTGTCAGAGATCTAGAAGACGAAAACAAACTTTCTATCACCAGAATAGTAACACTGAAACGATAAATGGCCAAGATAATGTACAATAACAACCCACCTGATAAATGTTCTAGGGGAAAAACTGCTGAATAGTGCTCTCTTCACAATGCTTATATCACTATTAGACATATATCTAAAATCCTTTTGAAGTTATTTTTATATCTTTATAAACATGTTGAATGTATCTTTTTGAGTGTGTTTAATTTTGTGAGGGCAGTTGTTTGTTTTCGCAGGAATAAGATCCCAGTCCATATAAGGCATTGTTGTATTTTATTATTATATGGATATATCCATAAAATGACATCAAACTAGCCAGATATAAAAATCAATCTCCAATCTTTAAAACAAGCACTTTTGATGATGGGCAAGTGACCTACTAAAGCAAGAAATACAATGTTGTCAAGGAATATGAAAACCAGTCTAGATTTTGCAGTAGAAAACTGTCTGTTGTTTATTGATAGAAAGTGAAGTGAATAGCAGATTATCAGAAGATCTACAAAGTGTCTGCCATCATCAATTGCCTACAGCAATCTTGATAACACTTGGCCATTACCCTTACATCTGACTATCAGGAATATGTCTTCTTGTATGATTAAAAAGTATGTAGGTCATAACACCAATTGACAGCCCTACCATTATGTGGCCTATATGGCCTGTGGGTTTGTGGGTCTGGATTCAATGTGGCATGCTTTTCATATTCAACTTTTCTTAGAACTTTAGAAGACATATTGTTTTAAAGAACATTGATCATGCCCTTCAGGCAGTTTAGTGCATGATGCATTAGAGAAGCTAGTCGGCCTACTTAGCTTAATAGGGAGAGCATTAGGTTATTAATTCAGGGTCTCTAGTTGGATCCTCAGGAGAGGCTTATTATCTCCCTGACCTTGTACACAGAGTCTATTGGACATGTGTCTCTCATAGCTGATTCTGAAATAAGGTAGGATACCTAGTGGGTCACTTGCAGAGAAATTGATAATTACTGGTTAATTTAGCTATCCAGGAAAGCCACAGAAGGGCAATAACTAAAAAATTATGCAGGGTAGAGTTATCATTCTTGTGCACTGCACTCCTCCTGAGTGAGATCTATGCACCTATGAAGTTTCATGTTGATATCTCATAGGCTTTTTGAGTTATGCTCTGGACAAAAATCAATTTTGAAAAATAACAAAGGGCAATAACTCAAAAATTATGCAGGGTAGAGTTATCATTCTTGTGCACTGCACTCCTCCTTAATGAGGTCTATCTACCTATGAAGTTTCAAGTTGATAACTCAAATACATTTAGAGATATGCTCCGGACAAAAATGTCGGACGGAAGGACGGACGGACGGAGACTATTACTATATCCCCTGCCGCCTTTTCGGGGGGTGGGGATAATAAATTACTACAAAGTATAACGACTAATACAATGCTTGAATGTAAATTTGATATGATAAATGTTGTGTTAAGAGTTTGAAATGAGTGTATCACTTAGATGCCCAAGAAATAAAAACTTTTAGCTTATTGAGTTTTTTGGTTTCAGTGTTGATAATCATGAAAGGAAAAATATAATTACAAATATTAATGGTGGTGTGTTTAATATATACATGTATGTCCTTGTATATAAAAAAAATCTCTTCAAAAGTCTTCAAAGTTTTTTTTCTTTTTCATAATATCTAACCTAGAATAAATTGTAAATTTAACAGAGATAGAAATAAAACCAGAAATAACAAAAACATCCTGCCCCTGATGAAAGGTTTAAGGCATTAAAATTTTTCTCATAAAAAAATTGTAAGAATTAGACTTTGCCAGATTTCTATGAGCTGAAAATAATGATGATTCCAGAAAGTTTCTGCTAAACATTTAGAAAGAAGAATGTAAACATTATCAATTACATTGGTTCATGTTTTTTACATCTTTCATTTTCTGTCATTTTTGAGTCAGGGGGAAATTTTTCAAGATCTCAGACTGTTAGTTTAATCAATGAGGCATAACATTCCCCCACAAGTTCATTTCCTGTAACCTCTCCAGCATTATGATTGGTATTATTGTATTGCACAGATCTCATTTGACAGCAAAATGGTCATAGAACAGCTATTATATCTTTAGGAAATAACTATAGCATAAATCATCACATCACACATGAATACTCTCCCTTTATTTATCACGATTAAGCATATAAGAGTTGTCTCCCTTGTGTTTTGTTTTATAAGTTTTAGACTTGGAAAACATTGCCAGAAACAGATAAGATATTCTGATAATAGTATATAGATTACTGATAAAAATATTCTCATTACTTTCTAGGAAATTCCAGGAATGCTGAGTAAGATATGTTACAGGGTACAACTAGAACGTATCTATGTACATGACTAATATATATAAATGTAGACAAATCTGAATTGCAAAAATATATTAAATTACAAATTAAAGCAGCTCTGAATATATTTTACAATAATGACTTTCTACTTACTTGACCATTTATAGACAATGATACAAAGCTTAATAAAAATTAAATATATAAAAATTTAAAGTTACCACTAACACTTTCATGATTACGGCCTGGTTAGTTATCCAGGAAAGTCAGTTAGATGGATAGACCATCAAGAAATGTGTTTTAATCAGGGTAAAAACCAGAAAAACAAAGGAACACTCAACAGACTTTCAGCTTAACCAAAGTCAACACTGTCTGGGATTTTCTTTTATTGTCCTTTTCAGTTTCTAAGGTACATTTGAACAATTCTTCTGATAGTGTTAAGAAGATCAAGAAATATAAAATAAATTCAATATGAATATCAAAGATCAGATCATTTCTAAAGTATAAATGATACATTGTTAATAAATTATGGGAAGAGAAATGAATCAAATTTTCATATAATAGTCATAAATTTCTCACAAATTATTTCATAAGTTATTTTTTGTTTTTTGTTCTATGAAATCAAAACTGTCAATTGTCCTTTATACTGCTGTTTGTGTAGAATATGGTACTATAGCTACTCTTAAATTATATTTGTTTAGCCATTATAATAGAATTATTATAACACTAAACGATGATGGTCTTATGGAAGATGGCTATATGGTGAAGAGAAATGAATGAGTGTAGGGAAGATGGTTATATGGTAAAGAGAAGATAAAAATTAATGGGTGTAGATTGTTATATGGTGAAGAGATGAATAATTGTAGGGAAGCTGGTTATATGGTGAAGAGAAGATAAAATTTAATGGGTGTAGAGAAGACAGTTATATGGTAAAAAGATGAATGAGGGTGTAGGAAGATGGTTATATAGTGAAGAGATGAATGGGTGTAAGGAAGATGGTTATATGGTAAAGTGAAGGTAAATGGGTGTAGGGAAGATGGTTATATTGTGAAGAGATGAATGGGTGTAAGGAAGATGATTATATGGTGAAGAGGTGAATGGGTGTAGGGAAGATGGTTATATGGTGAAGAAAAGATAAATGGGTGTAGGGAAGACAGTTATATGGTGAAGAGAAGGTAAATGGGTGTAGTGAAGATGGTAATATGGTGAAGAGATGAATGGGTGTAGGGAAGATGGTTATATGGTGGAGAGATGAATGGGTGTAGGGAAGATGGTTATATGGTGAAGAGAAGATGGATGGGTCCGTAGTGAAAATGGTTTTATATGGTGATAAGATGGATGGTAGCACTATAGTAATATTATTTACCTCATGTAACAATTATTTGATCACAAATTATTTTCTACCAATGACAGCATACTCTTCCATTTTGTCATCTTTTACCTGTAAACATACATTGTAAATTATTTGCCTGAGGTATGGTCATAATTTAGCATTGTTATTATGATCTTATATATTATCATTTTTAGAGCCATTTTTCGATGGATGACATCAAAGAACATGTACAATATTGACTTTGCCAATGTGCAGAAAGGTTCTCCTGAAGAGGTTCTCACATCATTCAAGAACAAGAAAGGAACATATGCCAGAATATTTGAAACTCTCTGCGGGTAAGATATGAGCCATGTCATGACAAAACCAACATAATGCATTTGCGACTAGCATAGATCCAGACCAGCCTGCGCATCCGCGCAGTCTGATCAGGATCCATGCTGTTTGCTATCAGATCTTCTGCTTGTAATAGGTTTTGTAAGCGAACAGCATGGATCCTGATCAGATGCGCAGGCTGGTCTGGATCCATGCTGGTCGCAAACGCATTACGTTGGTTTTGTCATGATGCAGCTCAATTATAAATGTATATTCCCAATTTTTGTTTTTCATGAAATAATAAACACTTTTTTAAATAATTATTATGTACTTTGAGATATTTATGACTTGTCCAAAAAATTAAAAGCTATCAATTCTAAACTCTGTTAAATGTTGGGGTCCGTGTTATAATTTCAAGAATTTTAGCTACAATGATAAAAGAACAGATGGAATTGTCCTGAACAACCCTTCAGCAACATACAGCTTTATTTCTTTTGTTTGGTTTGTCAGTGAAGACGATGTATATTATATACATCAAGAGATTTCCTTAAACCTATGCTTGTACACCAACTAACAAAGTAAAACTTAATTTTTTGAAACATTTCAAACATAAGAAGTTGTTCATTTTTGTTCTATGAGGATCTTAAATGATATTTATTGTTGTCTTCGATATGCTATTTTCATATAAAAAATTTCACAATATAATAATATTCAGTAGATGTATCATGTAAAATTAATTCATTTTGTGTTTTGTTTTATTTGTCAGGTTTGCTGGCTTGTACTGTACAGTACTCACAGGTTTTGCTAAGGGTCTAGACTATCGACCAGGGGACAAGTTTAAGGGAACTGAATACAATCATAGCTGGAATGCTGTGTACATAGATGAGAACTGGTATCTTGTTGACTCTCACTGGGCCACAAGATATCTCATCTCAGAGAAGAACATGCCAGAAAATCTTGTATGTTTAATGTTCTATTTTCTTCAACTCTTTGTAGCCGAATATTCACTTACAGCCAGTTTTCTCATTTTTATTGTGAAGTTGATTACTTTAAAAAATAGGTACGCAGATAACTTTATGGCAAAAGTCTTCGGTTCTGCTCCATGGCAAAGGTCTTCCTTGTGCACAGTGAAACATGTTCATTATGTTATTTAATCTTTACTTTGTTAAGTTTCATCAATATTTGATAAAAAGGGAATTTGGGAATTCATTCATTAGAATATAGAGTTGTGTCATGTGGTAGTGATCATCTTTACTTTGTTAAGTTTCCTCTGTATTTAATAAATAGGGAATTCATTCAATTTGTTTGAATTTAGTTGTGTTATGTGGTAATGATGTGTTATAGGTTTAGGTAAACTATTTCAGGTGTACGAGTACGACGATTTTTACTTCATGACAGACCCTGAACAGTTGATCTACAGTCACTGGGCACAGAAGGCAGAATGGCAACTCCTGTCACACCCTCTCACACTGCAGGAGTTTGAAGAACTCCCCCTTGTAAAATCATACTTCTTTAAATGTGGCATGTTCTTTATTTCACATCAAAAAGGTGTTGTTCAAACAAAAAATGGCAATATATCGATCACTGTAGGGTTTGTCAAACCAACAAACTTTACTTATAAAATTGTTCTTTCTGAAAATGGGGATGAAATGTTTCAAGGTCACAAATTGAAGAGTTTTGGCCTCCAAGAAACTCGTCACAATCAGGCTTCTTTTACTATAAGGTCACCTAAGTCTGGTTCATTTTATCTTACAATATTTGCCCAGCTTCTAACTGGAGACATCGGAGTGAAGAACGTGTTCACCGCAGCTGCAGAGTATAAGGTAGTTGCCGACACGAGAGCTAGTGATGCAGTGCCGCTACCCAATTGTTCGGACAGCAACTGGGGACCAGGCATACCTCTGGATCAGCTTGGTCTGATTCCAAGTCACAAGGACTCGGTTATTCCTACACAAGATAACAGAGTGACCCTGGAATTCACGAAAACAAGACCTACTTTCATTTTGTGTAAACTACGGAAACCTGGCATGAAGGTGAGGTGTTTAGAAGTCTTTGTAAATAAAGAATTATGCACTTTATTGTCTAAGATTCTAATTGAATCCATGCAGATGGAATATCTCATCATTGAAGTCAGAATTGATTTTATAATTGAAAGATTTTTCAACCAATTATTATCAGAGTGCTGCAAATAATTTTATCTGGAAGTTTATTTAAGTTGAATGTATAAAACCTTGTATGCTGTTGAAATTAAAATTTTCTAAGTGTGACCTTAGATAACTTTCTGAAGCAGAGGAACATTAAGTTGTAAACTGTAATGTTAAAAGTTTTATTTTTAGAAACTACAGCTTTGAGCTGGGGTTTTTTTCCTTTGTAATTTTGCCCGATTACACCTTGTGTACGTTTAAAAACCATCAATTGTAATAGCAACCACTTGATACCTTTACTCGATTATGTCAGTAAAATTCTCTTTTCTCGCAAGATAGTGTCAGACTTGCCATCTTATCATTTGAAAAACATTTAAATTGTTCAACATTAAGGAGTATGTTTGTTTATTCAACATCAGGTTGTGAAAATTCAACATACTTTTTGCCTTTTTCTTTGTACTGGAAATATAGAAATGATAATAATACAACTTTAAAAAACAGAAAAACAAAGTGTTTTAAAAGGCTGAGTTTACAAAATATTGATTGTTGAATACTGTACAGTCATATATTGCAGAAGAAAAAGTGATACTTATTAGACTACTTATTTGTTGTGATATAATTGTAAGGATCTGACTTTGATCTCTTGGCCAGGGATGTATTATTACATGTTTTTATCAGGCTAGTAGGTTCTATTTAATTGAGGTTCTTGTCTTGATATAATCCTATATTTTCTTCCAGCAATGAAGCTAGGAAATCACCAGATGTCATTTACTTAAAATATAACTCCAGAAAATAATTATAAACTGTTGATTTAAAAAGTAACTGTTTAAAACGGTAACATTAAATAAGATATGTTTGTAATAAATGTTTTCTTTCATTACTTCATACAGGAGGATGATTTGGAACGTTGTATCACAGAAGCTGACAAGGGTGATAAGGTTGTTGTCACGATATCTCTGCCTTTGAAAGGTGAATATGGTCTGGAAATCTACGGCAACGACCCAGCCAAGGATGGGGACACATATACACATGTGTGTCAGTACTTTGTGCACTTTGCCTCACCAGATGAACAACAGAAAGCTTTCTACCAGGAAACACCAGCAAGAAACAGCAATTTACCTGACCAACAAGCAACAATGAACAAGGGATATAATCCTGATACTCAACAGGTGAGTGTTAATAGATAACAGTTACCTCCCTTTGTCATGTAGTTATTATATTATGACAGGATTGGTTATTATTTCTTCAGCATTATATTGAAGGTTGATCATTATATGCTCACTGCCAAACTGTTGCTTTTAATGTTAAAAGATTATTGAGGTACCATTCATCATACATTAAAAAAAGCAGTCTCCATTAGTCCATATATATGTATTTTTTAATAAAAAATATAGCTGTTAATTAATAAGAATAGTTGAAATTTGCTGATTGTGGTTTGACATTAGCTGCAGACATAAATTTACCCGTCTTGTACATCCAGTCCATAAAGTATTTCCCACTGGCAATACTCTTGTGTGAGTCAATGAAGAATGTTCTTTATCTTATGCTTACATGTTTGAGGTCTGGAGACAAATTTTGTGGGCACAAAAGTTGGATTATTCCATATGGAAATCTCTAATTGGAAAGATATTTGCTTATTGCTCAGTATATTGTTTCCAGTGTCATTAAAATGTAATTAGATCTAAGTGCTAGAAGTGATTATGACAGGTCTATGGCGCCAATATAGAGACAAACCAACATTTAAAAATATATTAATATTGAAATCACTTATATTAATAGTAAAACAGCTCCAGACGCAATGCCATACCAGCCAACTATACAAATTTAGTGGCAGAAATGGAGTAAAAATATATATTTGAGCCGCGTCATGACAAAACCAACATAATGTGTTAGCGACCAGCATGGATCCGGACCAGCCTGCGCATCCGCGCAGTCTGATCAGGATCCATGCTGTCCGCTTACAGACCCTATAACAAGTTAAGAAACTAATAGCGAACAGCATGGATCCTGATCAGACTGTGTGGATGCTCAGGCTGGTCTGGATTCATGCTGGTCTCAAACCCATTATGTTGGTTTTGTCGTGACGCGGCTCATTTTATTATTTACAATGTAGTATGTGGGGAACCATCCTGATACTTTGTCATAGCCAAATTTTGAGAAAATTATAATGATTTCTTTATGATGAACGATTTCATAACAGAGGACACAGTTGTATTTCTGGTTTAGTATATTTTATGTATAAAGAGTGCAGGATAATTGAAAGCTGTTTGGCAAGTACAATAGTAGGTAACATTTATAACATATAAACATCAGTTTCTAGAGTGTAAAATTACCTACAAATTGGCAATTTATCACTAAATGCTTATCATGCAGCCTTGCTTGAAAAGTCATGATGTGTTCACCGAAAGTAACTTTGTATCATGTATATATTACTTGTAATTGTCAAAATTGTGTATTTCATAAGGTCTTGGTTTTAACAATATCTAATGACACTCATTCATTTGTCATACTGCATTGTTGACACATTGATTTTTCATATTGCATGTTGCTGTTAGTTTTAAATAGGGATTGCAACACAGGTGCTTGTCTTACTGCATTGTTCTTATATCTATAATAAACATTATTTGAGCCGTGTCATGACATAACCAACAAAATGGGTTTGCAACCAGCATGGATCCAGACTAGACTGCGCGGATATCCGCGCAGTCTGATCAGGATCCATGCTGTTCGCTATCAGTTTCTCTACTTGTTATAGGGTTTGTAAGCGTAAAGCATGGATCCTAATCAGACTGCAAGGATGCGCAGGCTGATCTGGATCCATGCTGGTCGCAAACCCATTATGTTGGTTTTGTCATGACGCGGCTCATTTATATGTTTATTATTATATATATATGGGTAGGGTAGGGGTGTGCGTGTTAAGACGTCCCGCACCTGTGGATTGGAACAAGTACCGTGCAGTCTGATCAGGATCCATGTTGTTCGCTATCATTTGCTCTACTTGTTATAGGGTTTGTAACCGAAAAGCATGGATCCTGATCAGACTGCGCGAATGCGCAGGCTGGTCTGGATCCATGCTGGTGGCAAACGCACTATGTTGGTTTTGTGGTGACGCGGCTCAAATTATTTAAATATCTTTAATGTACAATATTTGTGTTAAATCAAGTCAGTGTATATATCAAAACTACGCATGTAGACAATTAAATGCTATTTCTTTTGTTGTTAATCATAATTAAATTAAAGAAAGAAAAAATCGTTAGAGGCAAAAAAGTTTCTTCTTTACTACCTCAATTGAATCATTTGCACCTGGAGTTAGTTCAAATCTCTCTAGAGAAAATTGGAATTTGTGCAAGTGTGGAAACTTTACAAGCAGATTTTTTTTATTCCTGATGAAATAATATACAAAGAAGAACCTCAGAGTTGTTCATCTGCTTACACAAAACAGGACTGTGTTGATAATTTGACCTTCAGAATGATTTAACAAAGTATTAGAGAGAGAAAAAATTGAAAAGAAAGAAATATGAAACTGCCTCCCCCATGTTTGTAAGATGCAGATATTTATGTAGAAGTAAAGGAATTAACCACTTGTTGAAGTGTATAGAGAGTTTCTCTTTATCCAGGAAACTTGTCATTATCATTAAATAACACACTCACATTTCACACATTCCATCATAATATAGTCATCCTTTATAACACACTTCACATTTAATGCTGGCCATGAACTTCACATATATACAAATCTACAGTAGAGATTTCCAAAATGAATTTGTTGTTCTTGCATTTATAATTGTAAGAGCATAATTTTTATAACATAATAAGTCATATTCAAATGTATGCTATAATTATCTATGTTCCATGACATTGTTTTATGTATTCTGTATTTTCTGACTATCAGTAGGTGAAGGTTTTTTTTTATAAATGTATGTCAATAACATATTTCTGTCTCTCTGTCTATAATTAATATTGAATGTTCTTAATGTTTGTATTTAAAAGAAACTATAGTTAGTGTTTTAAATTATTTTTTCTTCGATAAGGTTGCAGTATTTCTGATGAATCATAACACATTTACTTTGGTAAATCGGCAAACTGTTAATCAGTTTAGTAAATCGACTGTTTATAAAAATAATTTAAAACACTAAGCTGGTTAAAATTTACGTAGGGGCGTCCGTGGCTGAGTGGTTAAGGTCGTTGACTTCAAACCACTTGCCCCTCACCTCTGTGGGTTCGAATCCCGACAGGGACTTTGGATTCTTTCATGTGAGGAAGCTATCCAGCTAGCTTACGGAACGTCGGTGGTTCTACTCAGGTACCCATTCGTGCCTGAAATAATGCACGGAAGGGCACCTGAGGTCTTCCTCCACCCGTAAAGCTGGAACGTCGCGATATGACCTATAATGTGTCGATGTGACGTAAAACCCAAAGCAAACAAACAAACAAAATTTACGTATTTACAAAATTAAAATTAAATTGGTAGCGGGGCTGTATTTATTTGCATAAATAAATTATTTCATGAAATTCAGTAGATAAAAGGTCAAGGGCAGAGAATATTAGTTTTTTTTACAGTGTTTATAATGTTATCTACACTGTACCTATATTATGCATCAATTTACTATATTGCAAAATCATAACTTTTCCATTACATCAGTTAATGAATCCAGCAAGTAGATCAGATTTTATGAGATTTTAGCTGCACTTTTTGAATAAGGATGATGTCATTATACAGTAAAACAGCAATAGTATTTTTTATAAATTTGCAACTTTGATTGCATCTATTGTTAATTTGTAAAATAGTGAGAAGTTAAATCTGTTGCTGGTGAACAAATTTTACTGGAGTTAATGCTGACAAAACATTATCTTTTGAATCTTTACACATTGAAAGTACACTTTTATTCAGTTACAAAATTGAAGACTTACTGCTCTTTGAATATAATTTATCAAAAAACAAAACTTGTACAATTTTTTTTTAATGTTAAGTTTTACATTGCACAAACTAAATGTAGGTCATATGGCAACCTAATCCAGCTGTACTGGTGGGGGAAAACCTCAGGTGCACCACTGACATTATGTAAGCTGACTGGATAGCTTTCTCACATGTAAAATCTGCTGATGCTTCCATGGCTCGAATCTAAAATGATCAGAGGCAAATGCTTTGAAGTCAATGACCTTAACCGATTGCCATGGATGCCAGATCCGATATAAAAATTGAAATGTCTTATTTATTTTAATAATAAAGTAGGTGTCTGCAGAATAAACAAGTACCAGAGTACATGTATGGTAATATCATAAAAATTTGATAATAATTCAACATATTAAACATGAAACTGTAGAAGTTAATTTCCAGCAGGGACCAATCTCTAGCAAGTCTTTAGCAAGTCTTTCCCTTTAAATTTGACTTTCAAAGTTATCACAGCAAGCTGTCCTTTTCATAAGCCTGATAACTTCTAGTCTTGTCATTTTGAGGTGTCATGATAAGCATACATTACTATACAATTATTGACTGGTGTGCCATTGAATATGATGTGATATTCACTGGCAGATGACATATTGACCGAGGCGATAGCCGAGGTCAATATGACTTTCTGCCAGTGAATATGGCACACTAGTCAATACTTGTTTTATTATATGAATAGGCTATAAGAATAAAAAAAAAGTCACATAAAGTACAACCTTATACATGTACAACTTTTGCCTGTTTCATTGAAGAGAGGAAAAAAAGACCCACATGTAAGGCGTGCAACAACTACGCGAACGCTTCGCATACAAAAGAAATTCAAGTTTATACTCATAATTTCAGAGTTACTTTTCACTATAATTGTAAAGTAATAATTATTAATCGGGAAATATACCATAAAGAACCAAACGCAACAATTTTTTAATAAGCACGCGTAATAAACAGTTTATGATATATGGTCATTGAATATGTGTCTCGATCTATTTTTAGACTGGGAAAATCCAATTCAGCCAGTGAATATGATTCTATAAAAAGTTCTATTGACTACTGTTTGGACCAATGAGATTGCAGCTATATTTAGATCATATAATAAAGCATTTTAATTCTCTAGGGATCTATGTACTTTTCACTTCTTACTGATTGTACTTTAAAAGATTCTGGTAACAGTTACTTAACAGTGACATTCTGGTATATTTTTATAGGTGTACTGCATGTGGCATACTGAGTATCTCCATATTTTTGCTGGCTGATGATATTCAGTAAATTATTAAATAAAATAATTTTTGTATTGGCAAAAATGCTAATCTGTTGAGGATTGTTACAGGCTGGAAACCTCACAAAACATCTAAGCTTTATAAAGAGGTACAAGGGATAGATATGTACAGATGCACATGTTGAAGAAGAGATGTTTGATCCATAAAAGTGTTTAAGATAAAACTGATTTTATAACGGATAGATTTTACTGTTAGTCATGTCTTTTAAAAGCTTATAAAGAAAGTTACTAACCCTTTAACTATTGGTTGAAAAGATGGTGTGGTGGTTCTGTCAGTGTTTGTCTACAACCAGTAATATCAGGTTAGCTGTAGCAAATGAGCCGCGTCACGACAAAACCAACATAGTGGGTTTGCGACCAGCATGGATCCAGACCAGCCTGCGCATCCGCGCAGTCTGATCAGGATCCATGCTGTTCGCTATCAGTTTCGCTACTTGTTATAGGGTCTGTAAGCGAACAGCATGGATCCTGATCAGAAGCAGGCTGGTCTGGATCCATGCTGGTGGCAAACCCATTATGTTGGTTTTGTCATGACACGGCTCATATATTGTTACATGTTGTATATTACTACAAGGCCATGGGGGAATCTGTATGACATGTTTGCCAAGTATACTCTCCTTGTGTTGTCAGCTGATATGTTATTTACAAGATTTCTATCATACTTTAGCTGTCTTTCCTATCAGAAAAGTGATTTGTTTAGTGATGTTTTCTGTAATGTTCACTGTTGGATGTACAAAATATTGTGGAAAAAAATTCTCACTTAGTTGCAGAACATTCACTTCCCTACATTTGACTCTATGTTGCCTTTAGAAGCTCTTAAGCTCTTTCAGAGACAATTAATTGCCTGGGTGATAACCAGGATATGCCAAGGTCATACTTGCATTCTTAACTCAGTTTTAGTACAGTACTGTTTTAGTACAGTACTGTACTGTGATATTGCAGTTTCTGTAACAGAAGACTTGGACAATTCTTAATGCATTCTCAGGAGGACAACTTTATTATACATATTTATTATAACACTGTTTCAAGGTTATTTGAGTGATAGACATGATCAGTACTTAGGTAATATTGAATTGGTAAAGTTTACTGCAGGATTACTTGGTTGTCCATTCACCTGGGGACTAGTAGTTTGAATCTTTACTACAGCATATTCTGTCTTTTTGATAAGTTGGTCCAGTATAATAAGTTTTAAGTACTTGGAATGAAATTTTTAAGATGTTTTGTACAAAGATGGCATACATTGTTTTTTAAGAGCTAGTAACTTCATCAGATTTAATTTGAAATAATTTTTATTATAAACATTTTATGTTTTGCAATGTAAGGAGGAAAGTTGTAATTTGTAGAAATGGCATGCTAGCTGGTATGTTGACAGTACTAAGGCTGCCCATGTGAAGTCTTCTCAGTGACACTATTTATGAGTTTGTGCTTGAAAACATCTAAAAATAGCAATGGACATTGTCAAAACTAAAACCAGGAAAAAGTCCATTTTATAACATCAACATTGAAAGGTTTAACAAAGTGGGAGGAAACGGAATGAAACTGTAACACTTTGATTATAGTGGATCACTTCCGAAATGTATAATATATATCTACTGTTTAACAAAGTACTTAGGTATGCTTAACTAATTAGTAATAGCTGATTGGATTTCATCTGTTACTAAAATAAGGAGGTAGAGTGGAAAAAAAAAAAGAAGAAATATTTCAGACAATAACAGTAACAGCAGAACAAATCCGTTATAAATGTCAAATTGTTTATGTAAGGTTTTTCTTTCCGAATTAAATTGTGTAAAACTGGATTACGTTGCACGTTAGTCATAAACAGTCAGTGTTGCAGCTGTAGTGAACTACGGTAAATAGTTGCGTCTGCTTCTCAAGATTGAATTTTTGCAGTAATAAAAACTGCTAGGATACTTAAGTTAATTTAATACAGGAAAGTAAATTATCATCACCAAGCTGCTTTTCTGTATTTTTTTATTCTTTTCTTGAACAAGAGTTAGTTTTGAGAAGGTGTCGCAAATTACATACATGTAGTATGTAATCCTTTTTTAACCAAAAAAAAGCAAACTTAGCAAAAATCTTGGACTTTACAGCAGTGTGTTGTTATTTTTTAATTTTAGAAGAAAAAAATAGATGTTTGACTCATTCTATTTAATTTTGTTGATGAATTGTAAACTTTAAAATATATCTTATAAATTCTGGGCAGTTTTTCGGTGGAGAGATAGATAGAAAAGATACCCCTGGTTCATGTTGAAGGAAGTCTGGAAACTGTAAAATTAATGTTGTTGTTGTTGTTGTGGGGGTATAATATAAGGTGTAAGTGCAATTATTATATGTAATATATATATATAATACATTTTGTGCAGAATGCCAGCACTGACATGGTATAGAATTAATCATCTCTCGTAGACAAATTTTGTGTTGTTTTTATTGTTGTGTGCATTATGGCTGAGAGGAAAGCACGTAGTGTGGAAATTACCTATGATCCATATACAAACAGAACAAAGGTAAGACTCACAGTATTTAAACATCTTTCAAATAATGTACTTTTCAATACTGGTGGTTTTTTTTTTTAATTTGTATACTGTAAACTGTCAAAAGTACTATTAAGTTAATGTGTTATTAAGTTTGCAGTTAGTACTATAAATGAGCTGCGTCATGACAAAACCAACATAGTGCGTTTGCGCATCCGTGCAGTCTGACCAGGATCCATGCTGTTCACTTACAGACCTTATAACAAGTAAAGAAACTGATAGCGAACAGCATGGATCCTGATCAGACTGCGCTGATGCGCAGGCTGGTTTGGATCCATGCTGGTCGCAAACGCATTATGTTGGTTTTGTCATGACGCGGCTTAAATAATCATTTAGAGTTGTTGCATATAGAGAAAAGGGTCTTGTATTGTGGGGAGGTAGAAAATCTGTTGGAAATTTAAAAGTGTGCTGATGAATAAATATAGGTATACAAAATCATAAAGTTGAACTGTGCTCATGCATGGTGTCACTCCATTACATTGTGTTTCAATAAAATGTCATACATAATGTCATTTTATTTCTGATACTTTGGGAATATTATCTGATACTTTGGGAATGTTATCTTATAGATTTACATGAAAAGATAAACAGTTCTTTAGGTGTCAACCCAATGATCAAAGGCTATTTTAAGTTATAAGAATATTTTGTAGGTACTTTGTTAGTCCTATTGGTTAGCAGCAACATTATGATATTTGTCATTCTGGGATATATTCTCAAATCACAGTTGCTAGACTTATTATTCCTCACATCTCTTTCCAAGGTGATTGATGGACAAACTCAGTCCTATATGTAGTAGATGCTTGAACCTTTTTTACCAATGTCAGTGAGGAAACTTATTATGCATAAAGTACTAAGTTACAGTTCCTTTGAAGCTTCAAAATGTTTTAAAGGATGGGGTAAATGGTGCTATTTGTCTGGTATAATGACAGGTCAAGGTCTTTAACAACTACAAGTGATCTAAACACCTTGGGTACTACACTTAGGGCAGCAGTAGTTGAGTAGGGGTCTCAATGGCCGAATGGTTAAGGTTGATGGCTTCAAATCACTTGCCCCTAAACCCCATGGGTATAAATCCTGGCAGGGACTTTGGATTCCTTCATGTGATGAAATCAGCTTTTCAGTACTGAATGGCGACAGTTCTAATTATACCCCCAAAAACGAAGTTTGGGGGGGTATATAGGAGTCACCCGGTGGTCGGTCAGTTGGTCGGGCGGTCGGTCGGTCGGTCCAGACGTCCGTTGCATTTTCCTTGTCCGGAGCATAACTTGAAAACTAATGGTTGGAATTCAATATAACTACATACAATGGTCAAACACATTGAGAGGAAGTGCAGTGCACAAGAACCATAACTCTATCTTGACTAATTACAGAGTTATTGCCCTTTGTTACTTTTCCTTGTCCGGGGCATAACTTGAAAACTACTGGTTGGAATTCAAAACAACTTCATACAATTGTCAAACACAATAAGGGAAAGTGGCAGTGCACAAGAACCATAACTCTATCTAAAGTAAATTACAGAGTTATTGCCCTTTGTTGCTTTTCCATTGCTTTTTTTTTGTCCGGACCATAACTTGAAGACTAATATTTTGAATTCAATATAACTACATACAAAGGTCAAGCACATTGAGAGGAAGTGCAGTGCACAGAACAATAACTCTATCTTGACTAAATTACAGAGTTATTGCCCTTTGTTACTTTTTCCTTGTCCGGGGCATAACTTGAAAACTACTGTTTGGAATTCAAAACAACTTCATACAATTGTCAAACACAATAAGGGAAGTGCGTGCACAAGAACCATAACTCTATCTAAAGTAATTACAGAGTTATTGCCTTTAATGCTTTTCATTGCTGTTTTTTGTCCGGACCATAACTTGAGACTCATGGTTGGAATTCAATATAACTTCATACAATGGTCAAGCACATTGAGAGGAAGTGCAGTGCATAAGAACTATAACTTTATCTTGACTAATTACAGAGTTATTGCCCTTTGTTACTTTTCCTTGTCCGGGGCATAATTTGAAAACAACTGGTTGGAATTCAAAACAACTTCATAAAATTGTCAAACACAATAAAGGGAAGTGCAGTGCACAAGAACAATAACTCTATCTAAAGTAATTACAGAGTTATTGCCCTTTAATGCTTTTCCATTGATTTTTTTGTCCGGACCATAACTTCAAGACTAATGGTTGGAATTCAATATAACTACATACAATGGTCAAGCACATTGAGAGGAATTGCAGTGCATAAGAACCATAACTTTATCTTGATTAATTACAGAGTTATTGCCCTTTGTTACTTTTCCTTGTCCAGGGCATAACTTGAAAAACACTGGTTGGAATTCAAAACAACTTCATACAATTGTCAAACACAATAAGGGGAAGTGCAGTGCACAAGAACCATAACTCTATCTAAAGTAATTACAGAGTTATTGCCCTTTGTTACTTTTCCATTGCCTTTTTTGTCCGGACCATAACTTGAAGACTAATGTCAGAATTCAATATAACTTCATACAATGGGTCAAGCAACATTGAGAGAAAAGTGCAGTGCACAATGAACCATAACTCCATGTTGACTACTTACAGAGTTATTGCCTTTGTTACTTTTCCTTGTCCAGAGCATAACTTGAAAACTAACTGTTTGGAATTCAATACAACTTCATACAGTTGTCAAGAACATTAAAAGGAAGTGCAGTGCACTAAGAGCCATAACTCCATTTTGACAAAAATACAGAGTTACCTTGCCCTTTGATACTTCCTTAACATTTTTTTTTTAAAAATTTTTTTTGTTTTTTTTTTTTTTTTTTTTTTTTTTTTTTTTTTTTTTTTTTTCCTTCTTTTTTTTTTTTTTTTTTTTTTTTTTTTAAAAATATTTTTTTTTTTTTTTTTTTTTTTTTTAAATAAATTTTTTTTTTTTTTTTTTTTTTTTTCCTTTTCAGGA